GCTCTTAGATTGCCCAGCTATCTCCCCAGCCCATTATATGGTCTTTCTGACATTCCGATTTCCTCAGATATTTGTGCTTTCTGTTTCTTTTCCTTCACTCATGAAGTCTTACCAAAGTATTGCTTTTTCAGAATCATTTCCCTTCTATCAAGAAATCTACCTTTAGAAATTCTTTTACAGCATGATTGTTGGGCGCAAGTCCTCTTAGTGTTCCTTTATCTGAGGATATTTTAATTAAAGTCCATTCTTAAAGCATGTTATATTTCGGTATGAATTTCTAAGTTGATGACTTATTTTTCTGCCATCAGTTTTAAATTGCTATAGCATTTCCTTCTGTCTTTCATGACAAATTTTGAAAGTCTTCTAAATCCTTACTGGTATACAATTAATAGGCACTATGTTTTGTGGGTTTTTTTTTTTTTCTGTTTTAAATACTTTTTCTTCATCTTTAGCTATCAGAAGTTTAATTCTATCTGGGTGCATTGGCGTATGGCTGCCTCTGGAAGGCTGAGGCAGAAGATTGACAGGTTCAAGGCAGCCTAGTAAATGTAGTCATTTATCAAAATCCTGTCTTAAAATAAGAAAAAGGTTGAAGATGTTGCCCAGTGAAAAGGGGCCAACCTCTAATACTACCGGAAAAAGGCTACCTATGATGTGGGCAGGCATGAATTTCTTTGCATTTAATCTGTTTTTTATTTTCTTTGTGCCTTGAACTTCTAGGAGGATGGCTCTTCTTGTTTGCTGAGGACAAAATATTTTTAGCCATCATTTTCCAATTTTTTAAATTACTATCCTATATTTAAGCAGCTTCTAATGGCATATTTAGCTTGCTCATATTTTAATGGCTTCTCACATTTCATCATTTTTAATAATTTTTCTCTAATTGCTCAGTTTGACTATTTTTTAATTGATTTTTAATTTTATTCTCTGTTAACTCCATCATGCTACTGAACTCATTCAACAATCATGGTATTTTTGCAGTAGGGTATTATTATTATTATTATTATTATTATTATTATATGGTAGGACAGTTTCAATAATTAACACATTGCATACATTCTTCTTAGTGGTTAATTGCCAAGGCCAAAATAAAGCAAGACCTATGCAACAAGAATTGTAGCTTTTAGGTCTGATAAGGTCAGTGAAATCCCCTCAGGATTTATCCTGAGATCCTATACCTCAGATTGTAGAACCTTTGTCAGTGTCAGACATGTGGATGAGTCATGGCCATTGCTTGGCCAGTGTGCTCTCTGTGAAAGCCTGAGAGAATGTTTTCTCTCCATGTGACTCTCCTTAGGCACACTCTACATCATCGATCACTTTCTTCTTTGGCCCCATAATCTCCTTGATCAGAAAATTTGGGACACTACCGAGTTACATGACATTATAGTACAAGTTCTCATATGTCCTGAGTCTTAATTGACCTTGGAAGGCTAGGGCCAAAATGTTGGCTTTCCTTGCGGCCCTCTTTTTTATCTAATTTTGGTCTGCAAACTTAGGTTGTTAGCCCTCCAGAAGACAAGCTTATTGTTATTACCATACAACCTAGGCTGCTAAGCTTAACCTCTCTACCTGTCTGCATATCAAACATCTTAGGCATAACATGGAACAGGTATTTTTCATCAAGTATTGATATGTTGAAATTTAAGTCCCTACAGAATATGATGAAAAATATTTAAAAATTAGAATATATTTTTAAAATAGGCATAAAGAATTATATAATTCTTATGTTTACATGTAAGTTCAAAAATCTCACCATATACAACCTTGAAGCAGGACAGTCCAAAACATTCCTTTTCCTGTCTCCTGCCTTCATTCACCACCCTCTTCGTTTTGAACAATCATCTACCCAAGAGACAGCACAGCAGCAGCTGGCATGTCATGACAAGCAGCCCGTATTCAGTAGACCAGAATGACAGGCAGGGTATTATATTTTTCCTTGATAAAATTTGCAGTGGTTTCTTCTTGATATCTTTTATTTCTTTACTAAAGCTTTTTTATTTTAACAGTTGCTGCAAGTGTGTTCGCTGTTGCTTCTGGAAGCGTTTGTATGGTAATTACAGTAATGCTTTTGCTATGTAATTCTAACTCCTAATGCTATTTCAGCATTGATGTCTGCTGGTTTTGTTTTCTCATGTGAATGGAATGTATATGATTATTCTTACATCAAGTCATTGTAGACATTTTGTGTTATTTTAAGAGACTTGGAGTCTTACTTAATTCTACTGAAAAGACTAATGTTTCTGTTCCAGTGTGTTCATACCTCATGTTCTAACCCCCTAGTGTGGACTATGGCTCCACTGTCAGGTAGTTTGATGTTCAATATCTTCATTTTGCTGTCTTCTCTCTTGGGTATGCAGTTCCCAGAGTCTGGGTGAGGGGCCTAGACTGTCTTCTCCGTGCTTCATGCCTCAAGTATGCTAATTAAGATTAAAAAAAGCTATATATGCCTGTGGGTTAAGAAGAACTCCTACAGGTCCTGACTTTTGGGAGTGACTTCTCTGAGCTCCTCTCTCTCCATGGTCTTCTCAGTATTTTGGCTTCCTGAGCTTCTGCTTTTCCTGGGCTCTCTGTAATGTGCTTGCCCTGCTGAAGCAAGGGAAACAAGATTAAAACAAAACAAAACAAATGGCATTTGCAGAATTGTTTTGAAACTACAACTACATGAAAAGCAAAGGTGTCACTTGCTGAGAGTTTTGGATTTGAGTTTTCCAAAAAGAATTTAAGTGATGCCTTAGCAGCAGAGTCTCCTTGTTGCACATGATAAAACACAATGAAACCCAACAAAAAGAAAAAAGGAAAGGTAATCTATGTATTTTCTCTCAGTATTTCCTGTTTCCAGTCTTCAAGGGGAGCCCTCAGCAGCTCTCTTGCTCTGCCTGCTGGTGTTCACTCCTAAGTCTCGCTAATTGTGTGGAGTGGGGGTTCTGTAGGAGAGGAAGGATAAGCTCACTGTCTATTCGGTATTATGCTGAATTCTCCAACCTGGCTACAATAGAGAAATGTTCTGTGTATGTCGTGGTTTGCGATTTTGCAAGGAAAAAGTGCAATGCAGGACACATTTTATAAGATTATTTTATAAAGAATCACCCAAAGAATCATATACGAGGAGTACATGGAATCTACCCACACACTAAAGACCAAAGAACCCAGTTGAGGGCCTGGATCCTAATATTCTGCATGAATCCAGCTGAAAACCTAGAGCTCATAACAATGCCTTACACAAATCCAACTGGAGATCTAGAACCCATGACAAAGTCTCATGCAGGCCTGCTTCATGGATCTGCACTGGGAAGGCCCAAAGGTCAGTAGTTGAAGCTAACAAGTCTATATTGGTGGGATGAAAGATCTGTGCTAGCAGCCTGAGGGATCTGAACTGGATCCAGGAAGCAACCCTCAAGGTAGGTACCAGAGCTCTCTGAAAGGTACCATATCCATCCTCAGCAATAGTGAGGTCCCGAGCTCCTCCAGTGATAAGGGAAGCTGAGTTCCCATCAGGAAAGCCAATGCAACAAGCTTCTTCAAATCACTGAGCAGTACACCATCTTCCCCTCCAGACCTAGGAAGCAATCCTCAAGATGAGAACCCGAACTTCCCAAAAGTTAACCATAGCCATTCTCAGCAATAACAAAGGTCCCAACCTCCACTTCCAACAAGAACAGCCAAGTTCATTAGGAAAGCCAGCATGACAAAATCCCCCAGCAGAATAGCCTAAGAGAACCAACAGCTTCCAACAGCTCCATTAGCTTCTCCAAACAGCGTCCCTAACAGCGTCCCAGCAGCTTCTCAGTTCTGCCTTCTGCTGCTGGCAACAGTCCTCACGTAGGCCTCCCACACCCAGTGCCATGCTTGTACAGTTCATCTGGGTGTAACAAGTTGACTGCTACAGTCTACAAGTAGCTAATATAAGTGTTTGGTCCAAGCTTCATAGCTATGTGCACTGGGAAAAGTTAACGTCTGCCTATTCTGTCTCATCCAGAATCAGAATGCTATTTAAGTCTTCATTATTTATTTCTTGAAGAATGTATTAAGATTATATTTATTGTAATGATTATCATAAATGTTGTTTTATATTGCTCATGCTAACATTTCATTGGAAATTGTGTACAATAATAAAATAAAATCAAGGAAAAGCATTATTTTTACACAGTAATTTTTTTTTTTTTTTTAGGAACCGGGGATTGAACTCAGGCCCTTGCACTTGGCAGGAAAGCGCTTATTCCACTGAGCCATCTCCCCAGCTCTACACAGTAATATTTAGTCTCTATGCTATCCTCTAACAAAATTTATAGATTCTAGGATGCCCTGATTTGGGTATCAAAGAGCTTACATGGGATGAAAAAAATACCTTTATATAAATATGAATTATAACATCGAAAATAACCATCTTTACTTTAAATTGGTTCTAAATACCTTGGGAACATCTACAATGGGAGTCCCTCAGACTGGCTGTAGCACCAGTCAGGAAGAGGGAGGGCAGCACATGTGAAGCTAATACAGCAAGAGCTGGGAAAGAGTGACACAGCACGACTAGTGGGCCACGTACACACGGTGCTCAATTTTCAAGACCTTCGATATATAAATTCTTCCTCTGTGTGCTGTCTGTTGTTGCTAATACTTCACTCTTATTATGATTTGCTTCTAAATTCTTCAAATTCTCTGGAATTGCATTTGTTAAAAATACTGTGAAGCCTAAGATAGAGGTAGATTCTTCCTTTGAGAGTTTCTCATTGTTTGACCTAGTTGTCTAAGTGTAGTAACAATTTGAGGCCACTTAGATTCTTGACTTTATAATCCATTCAGCTAATATAGGTAGTGAGAATTCTAACTCTAAACTGACAGAAAGTTAGGCTTGTTATTATTTCAACATTAAAAATTATTCTAGCCTTTATTAAAACAAAAAAAGAACACTAAGAACTATTGTGGTACATCATAGAGGTTAGGTTAAAGGCTGAATACAGCAGAAACTGCAGAGGGTCTATAGGCAGACTGAAGGAGTCATGCTCAAAGCATTGTCAAGAGGAGGCATCAAAGGTAAGTGATTCTAGATAAACTACTTCATAAGTGGCGAAGGTAAGCACTGCCGTAATCAATATCCACGGCAGAGTATTTAAAAATTTTCATGCTCCACTTTTTAAAAAGGCTAAAAATTAATCAATAAAATAACTTCTACTCATGTCAAAAAGGTATGTTGTATTAACATCAAAAATTCTGAACAATGATTATTAGAACATGGAATAATTAATAGGGTTACTCTCACCTCACTGATGGCATTGCTTGTAACTTTGCCTAACTTTTGAAATAATAGATTGATACTGTGACAATTTCAGAAATATTATGATTTACTAATAGATAATTTCCTAAACTGTTCCCTTATCTAAAATAATAAAATTTCATCTATTGATATAATATTCCATGGTAACATATTTAATTTTAATGACAAAATAAAAAAAAACAGAGCCCATAAAGTTTCACCTTGATTTAATTTTTTACAATCTTATGTATTTGTTTATTTATTTGGTACTTCTTCCTACACAGCTCAGACTCGTAGTGATCCTCCTGCCTCAGCCTCCCCAGTGCTGGGATTACAGGTGTGTGCCACCACACCTGATTTCGGTGCCTGCTCAGTGCAGGGCCAGCACGGCATGTGGTACAAGGGATTGAAACCAGGTCCTTGCCCTTGCCAGGCAGATGCCTACCCTGCAGAGCTATTTCTCCAGCCCCATCCACACCTTAATTTAAATTGAAGTTTAATCAAACAGATCTCAATAAACAAAATATACCTGGCTTGAGAATACAGTGCATTATTCCAGATATTTCTGTTTTTTTCTTATAGAAAAAATGTTACTTTTAGTATGTTCTTCCATTTTCAGTTATTTGATATTTGAAAAGTTTAGTGTACTCAGTTGAAGCACAAATGGAAGCAAGACCTCATTTCTTTATTTATGTGTGTGTGTGTGTGTGTGTGTGTGTGTGGCCAGCTCATCCCACCAGGGGGTGGGGCTGGCTGGCATGTGGTGCTGGGGGATTGAACCGCGGTCCCTGAGCTTTGTTAAGCTTGTTCTAAGTAGGTGCTTTAGACCACTGAGCCATCTCACCAGCCAAGACCTCATTTCAACAGATTTTTTTTTTACTCTTTTGACTGTTTAAATATTAAAATGGAAAATGTTTCTTGGTAATATTTGCAAAGACCTTTCCTTGGCATGTGAACTACTCTGGTTAGTAAATAAATCCAATCAGCCTATCTCACAGAATACTTTGCAAACATTATTTGTGTATGTGTTAGTAATTACTCTTGTCTGAAATCAGTGACCTCCTTCTACTCACTGTGAGCAGAAAAACTCACACACTTCTTTTGTAGAATACGTTATGTATAAACATGGAGAGATTAACTCTACATACAGAGAATTACTATATCACAAGTTATACAAACCATTTTTGCAGTTTACGAAGCTTTTTCATTTTGTTTCAAATTTATCTCTGACTGATAGATAAAAGCATAAACATTATGCATATTAAGGCACATCATATAACATTTTAATACATGAAAACATTGCGTAATGTTTAAAGCAGGTTAAGTGGAACTATCTCCCAAACATTTTCATATATTTATAAGGAAAACTTTTAAATTACTCTCCTCTTGATTTTTAAAGTGTACCATAAATTATTGCTATCTTTGCTCACCTCACTCTATGAGATCACACCAGAATTTCTTGTAGCCTATCCCAGCTAGTTGACTTTCCTCCATCCATCTCCCACATCAACTCTTGCTATTCTTTGGCAACCACAATTCTGCACTCAGCTTTTATGAAATTGGCTTGACTTCCATGGAATATTTGACAGATACATTTGTTTCCCTAAGAAATAAAACAAAGTAACCAGTGGCTACTACAGAAAACAATAATAGGGAAACCTGGGTTTTGAGTTTTTATAACAGAAACTCTCTCTCTCTCTCTTTTTTTTTTTTCTTTTTTTTTAGAAGCCGGGGATTGAACCAAGGCCCTTGTGCTTGCCAGGGAATGCTTCTTCCACTGAGCCATCTCCCCACCCCTTGAAACTATCTTGATTTAAGAGTTTGATGCATTTTTCAAGCTCTAAGATATTTTAAGCCACTCACAATAGTTTTCATACCATTATTTTGGGTCCAGTACTTTAAGCACTCCCACCCTCTTAAATTTTTCATGGGCTTTATTTTACAGAGACGTTTCAGGTTTACATAAAAGTTGAGCAGCAAGTGTAGACAGTTTCCACATTCCGCCTCGTTCCTCTACAGTGTGTCCTATTATGAGTGCCTTGCACTTCTGTGAAATGCTTATTACATTTAAATCAATAGTGATGCAGTCTTAGTAACTAAAGTCCACAGTTTGCACTAATATAATGTAGATTCTATCTATGAGTTGAAGAATGCAGTATTTGTTCTTGATTCGAGACCCATTTCATTTGACCTCATTATGACCAGTTTTATCTGGTTGTCACTGATGACTGAATTTCATTCTTTCTTGTGGAGGGACAGTGTTCCATTGTGTACGTGTACTGCTGTTCTCCAGTCATTCATCAGTTGATGGATACTTAGTATGTTTGCATTCCCTAGTCATTATGACTACACTTACACCAAACACAGGTTTGGCATAGTGTTTCTTTGACAGGATGATTTCATTTCTTTTGCATATAACCCAGTAATAAGAGTACTGTATTACATTGTAATCAAGGTAATCAACTACGTACCACCAACAGAATGCAAAGAATTCCTTTTCTCTATATCTTTACTAGCACTGGTAATCTTTAGTCTTTTATATAATAGCCATTGTTATTGGGCTGGAGTGTTATTCTAATTCTTTTTGAGTTCTGGGGATCAAAACCAGAATTTTAGCAGGCAAGCAGTCCAGCAGTGAGTAATGCCCCAAACACTCATTATGGTTCTGATTTGTAGTTTTCTTTGTCTTTCTTTCTTTCTTTTTTTGATGTATTTAGTACAGGGTCTGTAGGGTCGACAGGGTCTCACTACATAGATTGGACTCACAATGATTCTCCTGTTTTCAGCCTACCAAGCACTGGGATGCAAGTCACTGCACCCAGTCTCAATCGCTGTCTCAGCATGCCCTGGGGGCAGGGCCTGCACGGCATGCTGGAGATCAAACCCTGGCCACCATGCTCTGCCTAAGCAGGCGCTTTAGTCCACTGAGCTATCTGGCTGTCCCTGATTTGTAATTTTCTGATGATTAGTAAATCTGAACGTTTTCTTCATATATCTGTATGCTATCTCTGTATTTTCTTTTTGAGAAAAGAAAATTTGGGTCTGTTGCCTGTTATTTAAATAAGTTTGTATTTTTGTTGTGAAATAGTTTTCAGAATTCCTTCCATATTCTGGTTATCATCAGTCTGTTACATACTTAGTTTACAAATGTTTTCTCCCATTCTGTAGATTATCTGTACATTCAATTGCTTATTTTACAGAGTTTTTCAGTTTGATGCATCCCCACTCATTTTGTTCACTTTTGTTTCCCTGTTGGGGTCTTCTCTAAAATAGCCTTCCATATTCCTATCTAAACATGGACAGGTCCCTCGCAGTGCCCCACTCCTCTGCACAGTTTTAACCATTACTCATTTGTGTTTTATTTAATAGTTGCATTTGCTTCAGGTCTTATGTTTAAGTATTTGACACATTTTGAGTCAATGTGTGTGTGTGTGTGTGTGCGCACACGCGCAGTTCATAAGAGGTAGTGATCTAATTTCATTCTTGTGCGTGTGGATATCTACTTTTCCAGCATCACCTATTAAAGACTGTCATTTCTTCATTCCATGTGCAATGAAGCCTTGTAGAAAGTCAGCTGGCTGGATGGGGCCAGCCTGATAGCTCAGTGGGCTAAAGTGCCTGCTTAGGCAGAGCTCAGTGGCCAGAGTTCAATCCCCAGCATGCCATGCTGGCCCTGCCCATGGGGCATGCTGAGATGGCAATTGAGACTGGGCGAGGTGGTGCATGCCTGTAGTCCCGGCACTTGAGAGGCTGAAAACAGGAGAATCACTGTGAGTCCAATCTACATAGTGAGACCCTGTAGACCTTGTCCTAAACACAGAAAAAAAAAAGAAGAAGAAGAAATCAGCTGGCTGGAGATGCAGTTGTAGGCACTCTATTCAGTTTCATTGTTGTGTGACATAGTTTTATGCCAATACCATGCTGTTTTGAAAACTATAGCTCTGTGGTGTGTTTGATTTCCCATAGTGTATTTCCTCTTTTATTGTTCATTTTGCTTGGGTGAATTTGGATATTTAATTTTTTTGTGTGCTGTATAAGTGTTAGTTGTTTTTCTAGTTCTGTGGAGAATGTCTTTGGTGGTTTGGTAGTAGTTACACACTATCTGTATGGACATATTCACAGTGTTGATTCCTCCAATCATGAACACAGGATGTCTTTCCAATGTTTGGGTCCTTTTCAATTTCATTTACCAGTTTTTTAAATAATTTTCATTATACAATTTGTCTCTTGAGTTAATTTATTTGTAAAAGTTGTATTTTATAGCTATTTTAAATTAGATTGCTTTCTTGATTTGTAATGCAGAAAATCTGCTGTCATAAATTAATGTTAATAACTTTTATGGGCCAATTTTGTATCCTGATACTTCTCTGCATTTATTTGTTAATTCTAACGGGTTTCAAAAGAGTTTGGGGGATTTTCCTTATGTAAAATCATGTCATTGCTAAACAGCAATAATCGGACTTCTTTCCTGTTTGATTGACCTTTATTTCTTTTCCTTGTCTGGTGATTCTAGCTAGGACTTGCAAAATTATGTTGAATAAAAATGAGGAAAGTAAGAATCCTTGGCTTTCTTATTTCAGGTATGAGAGATTGTTCATTTTCCCTCTATTTAACATAATGTAAACTATACTATAGGTTTCAGAAAAATAGTCTTCATATGTTAAGGTATGTTCCATGTAACTAATTGTTTGGCCTGGCATTTTATCAGAACTTTTGAATATGAAGTGACCTGGAATTGTCTCAAGCCTCCTTTTTTTCCATAATTTTATTGAGAAACAAATAGCGGCTTACACAGTGTGGCCGGCGACATTAGCTAGCGCTCGCTCTACTCTCTTTAACGGGGAATCAGCGGACTACAAGAGACTGAACTGTATCCGCCTCTATTTCCAACAGACTCACGTTCAACTTTCGCTCACAAAAAGCCGGTAAAATTTTATTAATCCTTTTTTTAAAAAAGGAATCTGAGCTTTGTAGCAACACAGCTGGAACAATCCACAGCGGCGGCGGCAGAAGAAGAGATTTAATTTAGTTGATTTTCTGTGGTTGTTGGTTGTTCGCTAGTCTCACGGTGCTGGAAGCTGCGCATTTTTTCGAAGGGACCGAGAAGCTGCTGGAGGTTTGGTTCTCCCGTCAGCAACCCGACGCCAACCAGGGATCTGGGGATCGTCGCACTATCCCGAGATCTGAGTGGGATATAATTTTGAAGGATGTACAATGTTCAATCATAAGTGTGACAGAAACTGACAAGCAGGAAGCTTATGTAGTCCGTGAGAGTAGCATGTTTGTCTCCAAGAGACATTTCATTTTGAAGTCATGCGGTACCACCCTCTTACTGAAAGCACTGGTTCCCCTGTTGAAGCTTGCTAGGGATTACAGTAGGTTTGATTCGATTCAAAGCTTCTTTTATTCTCGTAAGAATTTCATGAAGCCTTCTCACCAAGGGTGCCCACACCGGAATTTCCAGGAAGAAATAGAGTTTCTTAATGCAATTTTCCCAAATGGAGCAGCATATTGTATGCGACCTATGAATTCTGACTGTTGGTACTTGTGTACTCTGGATTTCCCAGAGAGTCGAGTAATCAGCCAAGCAGATCAGACCCTGGAAATTCTGATGAGTGAGCTTGACCCAGGAGTTACGGACCACTTCTACATGAAAGATGGTGTTACTGCAAAGGATGTCACTCGTGAGAGTGGAACTCGTGACCTGATACCAGGTTCTGTCATTGATGCCACACTGTTCAATCCTTGTGGGTATTCAATGAACGGAATGAAATTGGATGGAACTTATTGGACTATTCACATCACTCCAGAACCAGAGTTTTCTTATGTTAGCTTTGAAACAAACTTAAGTCAGACCTCCTATGATGACCTGACCAGGAAAGTTGTGAAAGTCTTCAAGCCAGGAAAATTTGTGACAACCTTGTTTGTCAATCAGAGTTCTAAATGTCGCACAGTGCTTTCTTCACCCCAGATTGAAGGTTTTAAACGTCTTGATTGTCAGAATGCTATGTTCAATGATTACAACTTTGTGTTTACCAGTTTTGCTAAGAAGCAGCAACAGCAGCTGAGTTGTTTAAGAAAAATGAAGAAAAAACGCAAAAAGAGAACACATATAGAAGGTGGTGGCTGCTTTCTAGATGTTGACACCAGGGGCCATGCCTTCCATAACTGCCACCTTGTAGTTGCAGAAAGCCCTAGATGTAATGATAGTGTAATCATTTTGAAGTGTATGCGATATTATATCAAGGAGTTAGATATCTTGCAAAAAAATAGCAATGAGAGTTTCAAATCAAACTGATATGACAGTTTCAATAATTAACACATTGCATACTCTCTTCCTACTGGCTATTTGCTGCACAAGATGCAGACATGATATCCTGTTTACAAACACTATTAGAACAAATCCTTCTATTCATTATCAAACCTCCTTTTTGTATCTCTTGCTAGATCGTGTGGTGCTTGTCCTCCTTAGTGTGTCACATCCTTGCAGCCTTGAAGGAAATCTCACTTGATCATGCAGGATGATCTTTACAGTGTGTTGTTGGATTTTGTTTGTGAGCATTTTATGTGGCACTTTTGTGTCTCTTCATCAAAGGCATTTGGCTGCAGCTTTCCTTCTTTGTTGTGCCCTTGTATAATTTGGCAATCAGAATATGTTGATTTAAAGAATGCATTGGATGAACCTGTTTATCTTTTATTTCTTAGAATGAATTAAAGAGAATTGCTTTTACTTTTTTAGACATTTGGTACAATTTAGGAATGAAGCTATTTTGACCTGGACATTTACTAGATGGAGGATTTTTTATTATTAATTTATTTTTATTATTTGTTGTCTGTTTTCAGATTTTCTGTTTCATAATAATTTAATTATGGCAATACATATTGGTCTAAAAATGTGTCCATTTCATCAAATTTGTTTGCATATAGCTGCTCTTAATAGTTTTTAATGGTCCACCACTTGGAGGAGGGTACCAGGAATCGATGTTATTACCTTGCACTTGCCAGGCAAGAGCTGTGGCACTGAGCAGCATCTCTGGCTCCCCTCAATCACATTTTTGTGATCAACTATAACACTTCTTTTTTCATCTCCAAAATTGTTTGAGTCTTCTCTTTGCTTTTCTATGTTTAGCTATAATTTTTGTTTATTTTATTTATATTTTCAAATAACCAACTCTGTTTAATTGATTATTTTTCTTGTTTTAGTTTCTATTTATTTTTATTCTGACTCTTATTACTGCTTTCCTTCTA